ACATGGTAGAACTTCAAATCCAGTTTGAAGGAGAGCAAATTGGGTCTCAATGTGACATCAACTTGAATAAGAGAAAAGAGGTATAAACAAACAATTGGCTAAAGCAAGCAGGGAAAATAAACCAAGGGGTGTGCAGAGACAGACATTTAATCAAATATTTCATAATGGTCATAATCAAGTCTAGTCAAAAAGGACTCAATTAGAAGGGTGAATTGCCGGTGGTTAACAAAAACAAGGGAATAAAGAAGGACAGCATCCCAAATAAAAACCAAGGCATTCAAAGCAATGGAAACTAGTGGTGGGTCAGCGGATTGAGGATTTTATATTTTAGGAAGCAGCAGCTGACTAAAAAATCACTAAAAAGTCAATGTTAAGTTAAAACAAGCAGAGTTGATCAAGAGTCATCAACAGATCAAGTGTATTTCCAGAAGGCAAATAATATGGCTATTAAAAAGGCTCTTGTACAAGATAGGACATTTATGCGACTGGGATTGAGCATTGGTTAACACACAGATAACAGACAGTAGACATTAGTGGATTTTTTTAGGTTGGAAAGATACAACTAGTGGAGTGCCACAAGGATCATTCCTAGCATCTCAATTATTTACTATCTATATTAATGACTTTAAGGAGGGCACAGGGTGTAATGTGAGCAGACGTGTTAGTGATGCAAAAAGGATCGGGGGAGCTATACTGTGATGAAGTCATAAAGGAATCTGTAAGGGAGATATAGATAGGTTTGATGACGGGCAAAAACTTGGCAGATAGAGATTAACATAGAAAGTCATGCATTTTGGTAGAAAGAATTAAGAGGCAGACTATTATTTAAATGAAGAGAGACTTCAAAAAAGTACAGCACAAAAGGGTCTGGGTGTTTTTTTACAAGAAACTAAAAAAGTTAGCATGCAGGTGCAGCATGTTAAAATGAAGGCAAATAAAAATTTTGGCCTTCATTACTAGGAAAATGGAGCTTAAAAATAGGGAAGTTGTGTTCCAAATGTACAGTGTGTTAGTGAGACCGCACCTTGAGTACTGTGTACAGTTTTGATCATCGTATTTAAGAACGCATATATTGGCAATGAAAGCACTTCAAAGGAGATTCACTAGGCAGATTCTTGGGATGAATGGATTGATTTATCAAGAACAGCGAGATGGGTTAGGCCCTTATTCATTAGCATTTAGAAGAACAAGAGGCAACCTTATTGAAATATACAAAATTTTGTGTGGTTTGATAAGGTAGATGTTGAGATGATATTTCCATTTGTGGGGGGGTTCTTGAATCGGGGACAGAGTTACAGAATAAGGGGGTACTCATTTAAAACTGGAATGCAAAGAAACATTTTTTCTCTCAAACAATAATGAATGTCTGGAATTTGCTATTCCGGAGAGCTGTGGAGGCTAGGTCACTATGGAAGAATATAAAGAGGTGGTAGATATATTTTTGAAATATCAAGGAGTTGAGGGCTATGAGGATCTGACACGAAAGAGGAGTTTCACGTCTGCGGTACATTAGCCATCATCTTATGATGATGGACTGAATAGCGTAATCATGATCATATTTTTTATGACCTTTTTAACCTAAAAATGAGACATTAACCTGGTCATGCCGCAACACAGACCTACCTGCGTGCCAAAAGGCAGAAGCAGCATGCAAGACACAGAGCTAAATGATCCATAACCATTAGATCAGATCTAAGCCCTGATGATCTGCTACATCCAATTGTGAATGGTGGTGAACAATTATTGCCTAGGTGGAGAAGGAGGCCACAATATGCCTACCCACAATGATGGGCTGCCCAGCAGGTAAGTTTAAAAGACAGGTCTAAAGTATTTGCCTTTAGCTAGAAGTGCTAAGTATATCATTCACCTCAACGTCCTTTAAGGATCTCGCATCAGAAATATAAGTGAATAAGCAATTTGGTTCATTCTGCATGATTTCAAAAAGTGATTAAAAACACCAGATACTGCAAAGGCTATGGACCCTCACAATATTATAGCAATAGTACTGAAGACTTCCCTTCCAAAATTGGTTATTTCACTAGACAGCTGCTCTAGTAAAGTGACAGAACAAGCATCTACCCAGCAAATGGAAAATTGTACAGGTATGCCATGTGCAGGAAAAGCAAGACAAGTCCAAAGCAGCCAATTACCACTCCATCAGTCTGCTTTTACCCAGTGGTGAGGTGAGAATGATTACCTATGACATTAAGGCAGCATTCAACTAAGTCAAGAAACTCTTATAAAGCTAGATTTAATGGAAATTGGCAAGAAAATTCTCTACTTATTGGAGTCATATCTAGCACTAAGTAGCTATTTGAGGTCAATCATCTCAGCCACAGAACATCGAGATTCTCAGGCTAGTCTATAGGCCCAACAGCCTGTGACCTTTCCACCTCCATTATAAGGTCAGAAGTCAGGATATTTACTGATGATTGCACATTGTTCAGCACCATTCACAACTCATGTACAGAAAGTATCCAGGGCCATTTGCAGCAAGACCTGAAAACCATCCAAGCTTGGGCTGATAAGTGCAATTAACATTCACACCACACAACTGTAGGCAATGACCAACTCTCACAAGAGACAATCTAAGCATCACCTCTTGACGTTCACCAGTATCACTATCACTGAATTCCCCACTTTCAACACCCTGGGATATTCACTGACCAGAAAACTGAACGGGTCTAGTTACATAAATACTATGGCTACAAGCAGGTCAGAGGCTAGGAGTTTCTATAGGTAGGAATTTTACAGCAAGTAACTGAACATGTGTCTCCCCAGTGCCTGTCCACTTTCTATAAGTGGAAGTCAAGAGAGTGAAAGTTTACTCTCCACTTGCCTGGTTGGGTGCAAGTAACAACACTCAAGTAACTCAACACTGTTCAAGGAAATGCCACTTACATGCTTGGAAGCCAATCAACACCTTCAACACTTACTCCCTTCACCGCGAATGCACAATGGCAGCTATATGTAGCATTTATAAGATGCACTTAAGTTGCTCCTTCAACAGTTCCTTCAAATTACTACCATCTAGAAAAGGGCAGCAGACGTATGGAAACACTACCGCCTGAAAGTTCCCTCCAAGTTATATATCATCTTAACTTGGAACTATACTACAACTCCTTCATGGTCACAGGGTCAAAATTGTAGAATTCCCTTTCTAACAGCACCATGGTTATGCAATGACTGCAGCCATTCAAGAAAACAGCTCACCACCACCTTTTGGTCTGGTGGTAAGGTGGCTCAGTGGTTAGTACCGCTGTCTCAAAGCACCAGGGAGCCCAGGTTCGATTCCACCCTTGGGTGAGTGGCTGTGTGGAGTTTACACATTCTCCCATATCTGCATGGGTTTCCTCCCACAGTCCAAAGATGTGCAGGGAAGGTAGATTGAGCGTGGGAAATGCAGGGTTACAGGGATAGGGGCGGGTCTGGGTGCGATGCTCTTCACAGGGTCAGTGTAGACTCGATGGGCTGAATGGCCTGCTTCCACACTAAGAATCCTATGATCAAAGCCCTTCTCCACGGCAGATAGAGATACGCAATAAATGTTGGCTTAAACAGCAAAGGCAACATCCTATGATTAAATAATATTTAAGTGCAGAAAGAGAATGAGTGCTGTCATAGCACTCACAAAGATTAAATAACCTGTCAACATTCACTACCTTACGGGAATAAAAATTTTCTTTAAAAATAAGTGATGAGATTTTTAGGTGCTTGTGGAGAGTTTCATTGAAATAAATGAAGTAAATATTAAGGGAATCCAAAACAGCAGAGAGAACAAGCGACTGAATTTTAGGCAGAAATTACACTGATTTTGAAGGACATGAGACTAAACATATTAATAAATAATAAATTCGCCATAATCCCAGACAACCATAAAGCTGCTCTCTTATTTGAGACAGACTAGTGGTGAATTTAACCTATGGGTCACCAAGTCTCAGTGTGTGCGAAGTTGCAAAGTATGATCCTTCATGGTAACCTTGACCAGTTCAGGAAGTGAAACTGTGCTGTTGGTGTCAGTGCATCACAAACCAGCTGTCCAGCCAACTTAACTAACCAACCCCTATTAAGACCTTCCTCAAGACTAAAGCATGACAATCGTATTTATAAATGTCAGTCAAGCTGAAGACAGAATTTCGTGCAATATATTTTTATTCAGGTCTGCATAGTTCTATATTATACAGTCTATCTTAAATATATGGTAAACTTATATTGTATGTTTTGCAAACTAAGTAAGCAGAGATGGCATGATTAGGGAAAACAGTAATACATGACTGCAAATGGAATGCAAATCATGCAGTTTCTGTAATGCATTAGTCACTAACCGACGAGACAAACTGAAAATTTAACTCACTAGAATAATCCATTTTGCCTTTAAATTGTCTTCAGAACATTTCTGAAAGTAGTGTACACCAAATTACATATCATATTCCAAATGCACCAGTACTAATGAGGAATGCAGGATTAAATTAATCTGATTTGTCAACTGCGGTTTAGAATCACTGTTAACATAATCGGATTTTTTAATGACCAGTCACCTACTGTACATATAAATTTTTTTTTTTTAAACATGAGAATTAGTTTGCATATGTGCACCTGGGAATTAATCTCACCCTCATTTGCCCATTTATTCAATTTACTACGGTTCCTATGATAATAATCCCGCTCTCTTATATTTCGTAATTAGTTTGGTTTTTTTCAGGAAATTCTCTATTACGAAAGGAACTCATCTCAAACCATTTATGAATATTGTATTGTGAACTGCAAAGGACCAGAAGATACCTCGCCATATTATTGGCAGTGACTATTTCGTTCCTCATTCCATTTTTTCCAGTTACCACCACTGGCAACTTTCAATCCAGCAAGCTAAGACAACTGGTTTTAAAATATTGCTATCACAGAGTAAGAGACACAACTTAATTTGAAACCAATGTTATTTGCATACATTATTTTCACAAGAATTAATCATAATTTTAACGTTATAGATGCTGTGTACAAACCTTCTTTGCAGATTCTGAGAAAAGGACTCCATTGTTTCCGATTATGCCAACTGGGTACCCAAAAATTCTTGCAAACCCTAAATATATCCCAAGAAAAACATAAGACATGCTGAAAATAATACCATGGTAGTATATGGTCACATTGCAAATCATAGTCATATTCAGATCCTTATACAGATTTATAGCAAACATGTGAGAAGTATAGCCTCTGGTATCTTTCTCTACAACATTTGCTGAAAGAAAGACTTGACATGAATAATGCCTTTGACAACTTCAGACATCTCCAAATGTTTTAAAGTCCATATGGGCCTTTCGAAGATTAGTTAAAGGTTAGTTAAAGTTAAAGGTCTTTAAATCAATTTCCTAATAAGTTGCAGCCATACGTTTTTTTGAAAGAAAAGTGACAGTAACAATGTAAGAAAAACCTGGTTGTGGAGGCGCAGATTATAAACAATATGCTTAACCTCCGAGGAATGAAAAACAGTGATTTAACACCAACTTTCCATATCTTGAAATCATATAAATTTTAATTTGATTAAATCTACCTGTTAAATAATATTTGATAAAGTCATTAGAAGATAATTATTGAAAATACAACATTAAATACTGCTTGCAATTAACCAATCACCAAAACAAATGTTGTAATGCATTTGAACTGGGCAAGTATATAAGTTCTTTCTTCCTTTAATTATTATGAAATAATAGGTTTCAAAATCACAAGTAATAACATATGAAAGGTTACAAATGAATGAATAAAAGGCTTCTACACCTCTCTGCACTATTAATGTCTGATTAATGAGAGACACTAACCAAGTATATTATTTTTATTATGTATATTCAAATATAAATGAGATAAAGAAGAAAAAATGCTATTTTCTATAAGGTGCAGAACTACCTCCAATGCAGTTATATCCTTCCTTAAACAAGATCAGAACTGAATCAAAACTTCTTGCGACTGATGAACTAAAACACAAACCCCTCTGCACCATGGAATTCAAGCAATACTCTGCTTTTTCATTCTTCCTGTCAAAAGAATTACTTCAAAGGCGAATTACTTCAAAATTCATCTGGAAATTTAGCTATGCTTGGTTCCCCATCTGAGTCACTGACATAAATTATAAAACTTTGACATCCCACAGCAGAGACCCCTGTGGAACTCTGCTTGTCACATTCTGCCAAACAAAACAAGACACATTCATACATACTGAGATAACAAGGTGTAGAGCTGGATGAACACAGCAGGCCAAGCAGCATCAGAGGAGCAGGAAGGCTGACGTTTCAGGCCTAGACCCTTCATCAGAAATGGGGGAGGGGAAGGGGATTCTGAACTAAATAGGGAGAGAGGGGGAGGCGGATAGAAGATGGATAGAGGAGAAGATAAGTGGAGAAGAAACAGACAGGTCAAAGAAGCGGGGATGGAGCCAGTAAAGGTGAGTGTAGGTGGGGAGATAGGGAGGAGATAGGTCAGTCCAGGGAGGACAGACAGGTCAAGGTGGCGGGATGAGGTTAGTAGGCAGGAAATGGGGGTGCAGCTTGAGGTGGGAGGAGGGGATAGGTGGGAGGAAGAACAGGTTAGGGAGGCGGGGACGAGCTGGACTGGTTTTGGGATGCGGTAGGGGGAGGGGAGATTTTGAAGCTTGCGAAATCCACATTGATACCACTGGGCTGCAGGGTTCCCAAGCGGAATATGAGTTGCTGTTCCAGCAACCTTCGAGTGGCATCATTGTGGCACTGCAGGAGGCCCAGGATGGACATGTCGTCTGAGGAACGGGAGGGGGAATTGAAATGGTTCGCGACTGGGAGGTGCAGTTGTTTATTGCGAACCGAGCGTAGATGTTTTGCAAAGCGGTCCCCAAGCCTCCGCTTGGTTTCCCCGATGTAGAGGAGGCCACAACGGGTACAGCGGATGCAGTATACCACATTAGCAGATGTGCAGGTGAACATCTGCTTGATGTGGAAAGTCTTCTTGGGGCCTGGGATGGGGGTGAGGGAGGTGGTGTGGGGGCAGGTGTAGCACTTCCTGCGGTTGCAGGGAAAAGTGCCGGATGTGGTGGGGCTGGAGGGGAGTGTGGAACAGACAAGGGAGTCCCGGAGAGAGTGGTCCCTCCGGAAAGCAGATAAGGGTGGGGAGGGAAAAGTGTCTTTGGTGGTGGGGTCGGATTGCAGATAGCGGAAGTGACAGAGGATGATGCGTTGGATCCGGAGGTTGGTGGGGTGGTAGGGGGTGAGGACGAGGGGGATTCTTTTTTGGTTGTTATTGCGAGGACAGGGTATGAGGGATGATTTGCGGGAAATGCGGGAGACACGGTCGAGGGCATTCTCGACCACTGAGGGGGGGAAATTGCGGTCCTTGAAAAACGAGGACATCTGCGATGTATGGGAGTGGAATGCCTCATCCTGGGAGCAGATGCGGCAGAGGCAAAGGAATTGGGAATAGGGGATGGCATTTTTGCAGGAAGGTGGGTGGAAGGAGGTGTATTCTAGGTAGCTGTGGGAGTCGGTGGGCTTGAAATGGATATCGGTTTCTAGGTGGTTGCCCGAGATGGAGACAGAGGGGTCCAGGAAGGTGACAGAGGTTTTAGAGATGGTCCAGGTGAACTTAACGTTGGGCTGGAAGGTGTTGGTGAAGTGGATGAACTGTTCGAGCTCCTCGTGGGAGCACGAGGCGGCGCCGATACAGTCATCAATGTAACGGAGGAAGAGTGGTTTAGGGCCACTGTAGGTATGGAAGAGGGATTGTTCCACGTAACCTACAAAGAGGCAGGCATAGCTTGGGCCCATGCGGGTACCCATGGCCACCCTCTTTGTCTGTAGGAAGTGGGAGGAATTGAAAGAGAAGTTGTTGAGGGTGAGGACGAGTTCGGCTAAGAGGATGAGGGTGTCAGTGGAGGGGGACTGGTCAGGCCTGCGGGACAGGAAGAAGCGGAGGGCCTTTAGGCCATGTGTATGGGGAATGCAGGTGTATAAGGACTGGACGTCCATGGTAAAGATGAGGTGTTGGGGACCAGGGAATTGGAAGTTCTGGAGGAGGTGGAGGGCATGGGTGGTGGCACGGACATAGGTAGGGAGTTCCTGGACCAAGGGGGAGAAAATGGAGTCGAGATAGGTGGAGATAAGTTGGGTGGGGCAGGAGCAGGCGGAAACAATGGGTCGACCAGGGCAGTCAGGTTTGTGGATTTTGGGAAGGAGATAGAAGCGAGCGATGCGGGGTTGGGGAACTATGAGGTTGGAGGCCGTGGGTGGGAGGTCACCTGAGGTGATGAGGTTGTGGATGGTTTGGGAGATGATGGTTTGGTGCTCGGGGGTGGGGTCATGATCAAGGGGGCGGTAGGAGGTGGTGTCGGAGAGTTGGCATCTGGCCTTGGCAATGTAGAGGTCAGTGCGCCATACTACAACTACGCCTCCCTTGTCCGCGGGTTTTATGGTGAGGTTGGGATTGGAGCGGAGGGCTGCACATTCTGCGGGGGAGAGGTTGGAGTGGGTGAGAGGGGTGGAGAGGTTGAGGCGATTGATGTCTCGACGGCAGTTGGAGATGACGAGGTCGAGGGTGCATAGGAAGCCTTGGAGTGGTGTCCAGGAGGAGGGGGTGTGTTGGAGGCGGGAGAAGGGGTCAGTAGAGGGAGGGTTAGGTTCACGGTTGAAGTAGTAAGCGTGGAGGCGGAGGCGGCGGAAAAACTGCTCAATGTCCAAACGTGACCAGTATTCATTGATGTGTGGGTGGAGGGGGATAAAGGTGCGCCCTTTACTGAGGACTGACCGTTCGTCATCAGCAAGGGGGAGGTCTGGGGGGATGGTGAAGACTCGGCAGGGCTGAGTGTTGCTGTTTCCTCTGGAGCTGCTGGCTGTGGGCGGACAATCACCCCCTTGGCATTCAATGGCTTTACAGAATCACAAAATTACCATCACTGAATCCCCCATTATCAACATCCTGGGGGTTACCACTGACCGGAAACTTAATTAACCCGGCCATAAATAATGTTATATCCAAGAGCAGGTCAGAGGTTAGGAATTTAGAGGTGAATTCTCCTGACCCCAAAACTTGTTCACAATTTAAATGGCACAAATTAGGAGTGTGATGCAATACTCTCCACTTGCTTGGATTAATACTTTTCCAAAATGACATTCAGAACAATGCAGCCCACTTGATCGATGCCCTTTCCAACCTAAACATTCACTTGCTCCACCAAAAGACACACAGTGGCAGCTGGATGTACAATATAAATGATGACCCGCAGCAACTCAGCAGCGCTCTTTCTTCAACACTTTCCAAACTGATGACTTCTACCATCTTAAGGATAAGGACAACAAATGCATGGGAACACCACCTCCAAGCCACACAGCATCCTGACTGGGAACTATATCACCATTTTTCATAGTCATAAGTTCGAAATCCTGAAACCCTCTTCAAGCAATATGGATGGTTCTATATTCCAAGGACAGCAGTGGTTCAAGAGGTCAAATAAGGATGGGCAACAAATGCTTGCTAGCAATATCCACATGAAAAAAGTTTCACCATCCAACATAACTACATTTCCTTAGCATTAATTCATCTCCTTCCTTGGTCACTCTTGTTGAATCAAACTGTGTGCAATCTCCTTCTCATATTTGGCATTGAGCTATGTTACTGAAACAGTATTTTCTCCAACCCAATTATAGTCTACTTCAATCTCCATAATACTATTCATCTCTATCTCTGAAGCAGTTCATTTCTGCATGGGTTTCCTCTGGTGCTCTGGTTTCCTCCCACAGTCCAAAGATGTGTGGGCTAAGTGGATTGGCCACACTAAATTGCCCATCGCGTTCAGGGATGTGTAGATTAGGCCGGTTAAAGGGGGAATGGGTCTGGGTGGGATGGCTAAGGGTCAGTGTGGAATTGTCGGGCCGAAGGGCCTGTTTCCACACTGTAGGGATTGATTGAAAAAATAGAGTAGTTGATGTGGTTTACATGGACTTCATTAAGACCTTTGACAAGGTCCCAAGGGTGTCCAAAAGTTCAGTGCCCTGGGATCCAAGGCAAGTTAGCAAGCTGGATGCAAAACCGACTTACAAATAGGAGGCAAAGGGTGATGGTGGAGGGCTGTTTTTGTCATAGGAAGCCTATGACCAGCGGTGTACCACAAGAATCAGTACTGGGACTCTTGCTGTTAATTATGTACATTAATGGCTTGTAGGTGAATGTAGAAGATTTAATTAGTAATTTTGCAGATGACATGAAAATTGAGGTTGTTGTTGATAGTGAGGAGGGTAGTCTCAAGCTACAGTCGGATACTAATCAACTGGTAAACTGGTCAGAGCAATGGCAGACGGAACGTAATCGCAATATGTGTAAGGTGATACATTCTGGGAGGTCTAATAAGGGAACAATATACACAATGCATTGAAGGTCCCGAGGGAATACTGAGGAACAAAGGGACCTTGGTGTACAAGTCTATAGATCCCTGATGGTATTAGCACAGATATACAATGCAGTGAAGAGGAGATACAGGATGTTTGTCTTCATTATTCCTGTATTCTGTGCTCCAGCTAATGAAGTCTTGTTCCAAATTTATAAAACATTGGTTAGACCACAGATACAATACTGTGCGCAGCTCTGGTTGCCATACTATCGGAAGGACATAATTGCACTAGACAGGGTGCAGAAAATTCACCAGCGTGTTGTTTATGATGCAAAGTCTCAGTAATGAGGAGCGACTGGATAGGCTGGCTTTGTTTTCCTTGGGGCAGAGAAGGCAAAAAGGGAAATCTGATTGAGGTATACAAAATTATGAGAAGCATAGTCAAAATAGATTGTGAGAATCTCTTCCACAACACAGATATGTCTAATACCAGAGGGCATAAGTTTAAGGTGTGGAGCAAGTGGTTTAGAGGCGATCTGAGAAAGCATTTCTTCACCCAGAGTGTGGTAGATATACGAAACGTCCTGTCTGAGACTGTGGGAGAGGCAGATATTCTTGCAACATTTAAGAAGCATCCGGATGAGTACTTAAAATGGCAGGGCATAGTAGGCTATGGGCCAAGTGCAGGTAAATGGGATTAGTGTAGTTTAGTGTTTGTTAGTTGGCATAAACACAATGGACTGAAGGGCCTGTTTTAGTGCCATTTAACTCCATGACACTCTCGATGACAAACGTCTCCCACTTCAGCTCTATTTTTGTCACATGACAGTTTTTGAACTATCTTGAATTCATTTCCCACATTAAAAGGCACTGTATAAATCTAAGTTGTTCTTGCTAATCTCAACTAACAGCATTGTTCAAGGACAGAGTGAACCTAATTGATTGAAGCAGGCGGATGGAATGCAATGGTCAAACATTCCAGAGCTTCAATGTGTAACTTCTCTAGCCGCGAAGTAATCATCCTATTGCTTCCACCAGTAAGTTGCTTCTTTTAGACATAAATATGATTAAATAAGCAGTAGTTACGTTTTCTTGGAATTCCTGAAATTATTGCCATCTTCAGCAGTGTGTACCTATTTTCCTATTTTTATTCATACAAAATAGTTGTTACTTGAGGAGCATACTTTTGAAGCAACAAACTTTCTATACAATAATACCTTCTTCTGTAATTCTTCTCACTACAACAATTATTGCACCTTTGTAAAACAGTGTAGAAGCTATTGTTGCTTTGCATGGGATGGTCCAATAAAGCTTTACAAGTATGATCATAAACACATAACTTAAGACTATCTATGCATAATAGAAGTGCAAGCAACAGCTTAGTTAAATCTTTTCCTTGAAACATTGAAAGAAATAGGCACCTTTTGCATGCAGAATATTTTCTTGATCAGAAATTGTACCTGTAACTAAAGTGTCTCCATAAAAAGCTTTGAATTCACTAAATCTACTTCCATCCACTATTCTGGCGATAACCTGTAAAGATAACAATGTACTGTCAACAACCATCAAAATCAAACATAATATTTGATTTCTTTACAGTATTCTATTATGGAAGAATGGATAGAATTTAACTGTGGCAGGTTCTCTCAATCGGTTATCAAAAGGATATGGCAAGTAGCACTTCTATGGTGATGTTAGCTGCCCCAAAGCCTCTTAACACTAATTCTGGCAACCTTTTAACAACATGGAAGCTTCAGCTGGGAGGCCCCATGAATATCAGGGCTTCACGCAGTTCTGCAGGTTTTACTGCCAGAGTCAGGATGTAGCCATGGAGGCTTAAGGGGATGACCTGCAGGCAGAGTATAGATGGGATTAGAGTGAGACATTGATAGGGAGGCTGGGAACAGCAAGAAGAAAGTGAATGGGAAGGGAAGCCAGTGATGAAAGGCAAACCCACCTTCCCTCTAAGGTCAGACCTGGGCAATTTACCTACTAGCCCCAGAATGGAGGGTGCATGGGAAGCAGTCCTTAAATAGTCATTGGCTTCTTCAGCATCTCAATTTGGGTCAAATTGAGCAGGCTAACCTAGGCCATGCTCAACTCTAAGAAATCATGCATAGTTCCAGATTGACGGGATGGTGGAGGGAAGGCTGTCTGGGGAACTTAATAAGCAATTGCTGGGGGAGGGTCATGTAACATTCTGCCCCATATATTTTGCAGCCAAACGTTTAGCATTACAAAAGGAAACCATGAGTGATAGCTATTGGGATTGTTCAGTTCAAACACAGGGATGCCATGCAGTCACTGAAATCGATGTCCATCGATAATTTTTCAACAATCAAAGGATGCAATATTTCTCACTAGAAATCCTTTAGTCCAGCAAATGTGCAGTAATCAGTAACATCTTGTATTAGGTAGTAGAACATTCAAAGGTGTTTCATAGGAGAGTAACAGACCAACTGACACCAAACTAATGGAGCAGACTTTTGAACACGTTTCTTTTAAAACTAACTGACAATGGGCAAGTCATTGAGAATGCCAGCACATTGATGCTCATTCTTCCTTAAACCGTGAAGGTGATCAAATACATGATCAAAAAGCTAAATTTTATACAGCATTTTGAAAAGAGAGAGAGACTCATACATAAAAGTTGAGAAGGAAATTCCAAAGTAGGTCCAAACAGTTGTTGGTAAGAAATGGGAGATTCACCTCAGCCCAGAGTTGAAGGAATGCAGAGTTTTTGGAGATTTGGAGGAAAGCACATACCTTGAATCATTGTAGGGCTGGAAAATGTTACAGAGATAGGGAGGGACAAAGCAACAGAGATTCGAATACAAGAATGAATTTTAAATCAGAAATTTTTAGTGGTCCAGCAGCCTACGTAGCAGAGGGGTGATAGAAGAATGGAACCTGCAAACAAAGCTTTTTCACAACAATAGTAGTTGAGCAGATGAATATTGCTGTAAAGGAGGACATGTTACTAAAGCTTTTTGTCTTGGACTTATCAGGACAAACACAAGAATGGCAGATTTCAAATGACCACAATTTTTCATTACAGGCAAGAGGGCACCAATTTCTTGGTGACTGGCCAAGGAGTTGCCATAATGACAACAGTGGTAGCAGTATTTGACGGAAATATATGAATAGATTTAGCGAGCCTTTCATACTATCATAACCACCCAAGAGACATTTTCCACCAGTAGGATGTTACTTTCATTCTAAAAATTCATTCTGCCTACCAAAAGATTGAGCAATGTTGTGTATGAATTTCAGTGCTGATGTGATACCAAGTATGTAAGACTTATGGTCCAATGATTGACTGGTTAAGCATCCTCAATTAGTTCATGACAAATATGCAACTGTACTGTGGTTGCAAAACCAAACTAACATGACTAAAGTGAGACGTGATTCCATGATCAAGCAGCACTTGCTCAGCAACCTCAAATATGAGTAAACCTGCCCAGTTTAAAAGTTAAACAGAACCTAGCAGTTTACTGTCAATCATAATTAACTGGTGCATTCTTCATGGCTGCTACCAGAGTCCACTTTTCACCAATCAGTATTCTCCTCTCATGCAGTATAAATGTTAGTTATCCCCTTGCATTGGTATTCTTGTGAATTGTCATAGTTAGTACAAAACAAAAAGCTTTGACAATATGTGTCTTCATTTAGCAGTACTCAAGTTCCATATTATCAAATGACTATTAATTACATTCTTAATAGGTTATGCATGTTGCTTCAAATTCCATTGAAAAATCATTTCATGCTAACTGGAAAACCTTCCTTAGTCTATACCTCTTTGACATCAACACTTTTTTTCAGATTATCACCAACTACACCGTATAATTCATCAGCAGGGAACAGTGGCTCCTCTGGGGCTTCCACCGGCACCTAGGGAGACAAAGAGTAGTGTCACTGGCAGCCTCCAATCACAGTAAAATCCACAACTATTTTTAAATGTGAATTTTATTTAACAGCATTAAATTAATATCTGTAAATGTAAGAATATATATCTCACAACCCTGGAACATCTAAAGCAGAGTCCAACTCCTTATTCAACTTGCTTATGATTTTTTTCCAACAATGAAAGTTATGACCTCAGTGACAAGTTCTTATTTAAATATTATTTGGCACACATGTCCAAAAACAACAAAAAGCATTGTAGAAAGAAGTTTAATGTGGAATAGAAGAAAACTACTTCATCCATTGGTACCATAGCATTCAAACTATCTTGTTAAATTTTAAAAATTCATTCTGCCTACCAAAAGATTGAGCAATGTTGTGTATGAATTTCAGTGCTGATGTGATACCAAGTATGTAAGACTTATGGTCTAATGATTGACTGATTAAGCATGTTCCTCAATTAGTTCATAACGGATATGCAACCATACAAAAGGAAAGTGCTGTGATGCTGGAAACCTGAAACAAATAGAAAATGCTGGTAGTACTCAACAGGTCTGGTAGCATTCAAAGAGAGAAATAGGATTTTCAACTATCCCTCCCAGAGAGGTAGGTTTTTAGGCATGGAGCACTAGGCACCATACCTCTCCATTCAATTAATCTACTGCAGCTGATGAAAAAAATTAAGTCTGTAAGAAAACAGTGGGAAGATGGTGTCATTATGGCTTCACCACTGGAATAGTAATCAAGTGATCCAGACCAAAACTTTGAGGATGTGTGTTCAAGTTACAAAATAGCAGCTGGTGGAACTTAAATTTAATAGACTATCTTTTCATTCTAGATTCTTAAGTAATGGTGACTATGAAGCTACCATTGATTGTTATAAAAGCCCATCTTGTTCACTAATATCCTACAGGGGAGGAAATCTGACATCCTTACCCGGTCTATATATGACCCCAGTCTCTCAGCAAACGTGGTCGATTCTCATCAGCTCCCTTAAATAGCCAATCAATTCAAAAGTATTTGAGGATAGCAACAAATACTGATCTTGTTAGTGTCACCCACATTCCAGGAAGAAATACAGACTAACTACACCTATCAGACGTGAACTTAATGTTATAATCTGCATTATTCTGAACAGAACTGGTTAGATTTGACTGAAATCTCAAGTGGAACTCATGCGGTATTTTTCCTTTTTACACAAGATCTCAAATGGAATTACTACCAATCAATACAATTTATGTAGGTGAAAACTGAATGCATGTAGTATCTGATCACTTTTAAAGTAAAAAATCTTTATTTGGTAGATAGTTATATAGAGATGTGGATGAAGATATTTATGTTACAGAATTATTTGGAAATTACTGTCACTAAAGTAATCATGAGCTAGATTGCTAGCTAATAATTCTAAACATAGTTATTACTATTGGATTTGCCAAAGGATGAATACTTATATAGTAGAACATGATGCAGTGTCCTTAATTAATCCAACACATTACAATGGACAAACCCACGCAGAGAAAACTGATTGCCACCATATTAACTTACAGGCTCTCTGCTTGGATCAGGCTGCTAATTATATGATTAATAATGATTTCAACTGACTTAGAAAACACATTTCATTTTTACAGAAATACGTCCTATTCGTGAGTTTAAAAAAAACTATTATTGATGATTTAATTTACACAAAGAAAACAAGGAAGCGTGGTTCCCCCCCACCACTGATAATGTTATTTGCAATTTTTAAATCATTCTGTAGAGTAGGTACCTCGCATATTTGTCCTGACATTTATCCGTATAACATTAATGTATCGATCTGTCTGTCTGTGGGCGGTGTCAGTTTTCTAATTAGTTGGTTCACAGTTCATTTATAGGGATATCAAACTAACAGTTAGAAAACATTCACACAACAGAAGCTAATATTGGAGATGTCTGATTGTTACATTAGTAATAACAGGCTTGCCAGTGTAGCAAAGTGTGTATAGGGCCCACCAGCAGGCTTAAGGGCAGCAGCAATCAAATTCAGCCAACATTATGATGATAAAAAATGGATTCATAGGACTTGGAAGGAGAAGGCTGATGGACCCAGAGGACAAGTGATAGAATCAATCACTAGCTGGCTTGAGCAGAAAGCAGAGGATAGGAACAATAGGTCAGGTAGGATCGTAGTGATCTACAAGAGTCAGTGCTAGGACCACTGCTATTCACAACTCACAGTAATGATTTGGACTTTGAAATCAAAAACAATTTCTAAATTTGCAGATGACAAATAATTATGGAGGACAGTTAATCTTGAGAAGTTCTCAAACATGTTACAAGCAAAAATAAGTAGACTTACAAATGAGGCAAATAATTGACCAATGAAATGCAACAAAGTTAAACATGAGGCAGTATATTTTGGTCCATTGAATGTAGAGTCAATTATTACATGGAAGATACGAGTTTAGACGCGTTAGAGGAAAAAGAGGATCGAGGAGTACAAATACACCAAGCACTGAAAGTTGCACCAAAGTTAGCAAGACTAAGTAAAAAGCAAAACAAACACTCGGCTTTATTTCTAGAGTGACAGAATTGAAAAAGAAGGAAGTTATGCTAAATCTGTATCAAAACTTGGTGAAGTCACCCGAAGACAACGCAGAAGATGTCAGAAGTGCTCCCTCATCAGTATATTCAGTTTTATCTTGGAAATATATCACTGCTCCTTCACTGTTGCTAGGTGAAAATCCTGGAATAACCTCTCTAAGGGCAGTGTGGGTCAACCCACAGCAGGTGGACTGCAGCAGTTCAAGGAGGCAGCTCACCATCATCTTCTCAAGTGCAACAAGGGATGGGCAATAAATACTGGCCAGCCAGTGACACCCACGTCCCACAAATGAACAAATAAAAAAAATCTTCAGATTGCCAGCATTAATAATTCTTTGCCTTGTGGGAATACAATGCTTCTCAGAGTGAACATCTAATGATATTGAGTTGAGGAATGATAGTCAAAAGATAAAAAGCTGAATTTAGTAAAGATAATGAATCTGGTGAAGGATGGGACTAATAATTGTTTGAGATTCATTTGAGTCAGTTGGCCCTGACACCGGGGTCCTGAATCTAAATAAAAGAAACTATGATGATATGAGGCATGAGTTGGCTACGATTAATTATTACGAAAAGGGATGTCAGTGCAAAGACAATGGTAAACATTTAAAGACACCGGGGTGAGCTGCAACTATTATTCATTTTTGCCTGGTGCAAAAATAAAATGGGAAAGGTGGCCAAACCATGGCTTACAATGGAAATTAGAGCTACTATTAGATCGAGCAAGGTGCATAAAAATAATGAGATAAAACAACAGGCCTGAGGAATGGGGCAGTTTAGAATTCAATAAAGGAGGACAAAGGGATTGATTAAGAAGGAAGAACAGAGTACAAAGGTAATCTTGTGAGGGACGTAAAATCTAACTGTAAAAATTTGTATAGGTATGTAAAGACAAATATGGGTCCCTTACAGTCGTAAGCCTAGTAATTTATAACGGTGAACAAAGTAATGCCTGACTAACTAAATACATACGTTGGCTCTGTGTTCACAAAAGAGGACATGAATAACATGAGAGTTTTGGATAACACAGAGTTTAGTAAGTAGGGGGGATCTTAAAGAAATCAGCATTAGTAGAGAAATGATGTTAGAGAAATTGATGGACTGATGACCACTAAAGACTGACGGCGTGCTAATCTATATCCCAGACTATTTAAGGAAGAGGGCCTAGAAAGAGTGGATGCATTCGTGGTCACTGATTAGCAAGGGGATAAAGGGTTATGAGGAGAAGGGAGGAGAATGGGGCTGAGAAACATAGCAGCCATAATCAAATGGTGGAGCAGACCCGATGGGCTAAATCGTTTAATTCTGCTCTTATAACTGATGGCATTATGGTCTAAAATTCGATTACCCCGGAACAGTTCATACATATTGGAGGATAGCTAATGTAATCCCTCTATTTAAGAAGGCAGGCAGAGAGAAAACCGGAAATTATAGACCAGTAACTCTGACATTGGCTGTGGGACAAATGTTACAGTCCATTCTAAAAGAATTAATAGCCAAGCGTTTAGAAAACAGAATCTTCATGCAATGTGGACAAGCCAGGTGAGTGACAAATGCATGGCAGATGAAGTATAATGTGGATAAATGTGAGGTTATCCACTGTCATAGAAAAACAAGCAGATTGATTATTATTTGAATTGCAAGAGGGGAATGTGCAGCGAGACCTGGGCTTCCTCGCACATCACTCACTGAATGAAAGCATGCAGGTGCAGCAGGCAGTAAGGAAGGCAAACGGTAGGGTGGACTTCACAGCGAGAGGGTTCCAGTAGAGAAGCAAGTACGTCTTGAAGCAATTATATAGGGCCTTGGTGAGACCACACCTAGAATATTCTGTGCAGTTTTTGTCTCCTTATCTGAGGAAGGATGTTCTTGCTATAGAGGGAGTGCAGAGAAGGTTTACAACACTGGTTCTTGAGATAGTTGGACTGACATAGGGGAGGTTGAATCAGTAGGATTATATCCACTGGAGTTCAGAAGAATGAGAGGGATCCCAAAGAAACCTATAAAATTCTGACAAAACTAGACAGGGTAGATGCAGAAAGGAGGTTCTTGATGACGGAGGCACCCAAAACCACAGGTCACAATCTAAGGATACGAAATGAACCAACTAGTTTGAGAAATTTCTTCACCCAGAGTGAATTCAATACCACAGAAAGCAGATAAAAACTCTATGATTTCAAGGAGTTGGATATAGCACTTGGAACTAAAGGGATCAAAGGATATGAGGGAAAAACAGGAACAGATTATTGCGTTGGTTGGTCAGCCATGATCTTAAATGACACAGCAGGATCGAGGGCCAAATGGCCTATCCCTAATCCTATTTTCTGTCCTTCTATGGTTTCAGTGCATGTTTTCATGTCCAAACTGAATGGTAATGGCCATGCTGCTTCTGGCACGAGTGACAAACTGCAGATTACAGTGAAATAGACAGAACATACAGCACAGAAACAGACCAGCTGGCAAAAATATTCCATTCTGGTATTTATATTCCACACAAGTTTGTACCAAGTCTATCTACCTCATCTCAGGCTTTAAGTGTTTCTTTCTATTCCTGTAACCGGCGAAGGTGCAACAACTGCCCATTTACCTCCTCCCTCCCCAGTATCCAAAGGGCCCAAACATACCTTCAGGTGAAGCAACACTTCACCTGCACTTCCCAGAATCTAGTCTACTGCATTTGCTGCTCACAATGTGGTCTCCTCTACAGTGGGGAAACGAAGTGTAGACTGCGTGAACTCTTCGCAGAACATCTACGTTCTGCTCACCAAAAAAGAGCCCAAACTACCCGTTGCCTACCACTTTAACACACCACACTGTTCCCTGGCCAACATATCTGTCTCTGGCTCGCTGCAGTGTTCTAGTGAAACTCAACACAAGCTGGAAGAACAGCACCTCATTTTCCGCTTGGGGACCCTGCAGCCCTCCGGGCTCAATATCAAGTTCAATAATTTTAGGGCCCAGCCCCCTACCCAACACACCAGGCCTTGTTATCACATAGCCTGCCATTACACACTACCTGTTATTAATCACGAATAGTCCCCATTAACAACTATTCACCCTCCCAGCCTGATCGTTATCAACTCGGTCAGTCCAACTGTTCTTCTCTCTCTTTAGGCTCTATCCTATCATTTACTGCCTACCCTACCCCACACCCCTCCCCTCTTTTCTGCATATAAACTGACATTTTCCCAGCCACCATCCGTTCTGAGGAAGGGTCACTGGACCCGAAATATTAACTCTGTTTTTTCCTTCACAGATGCTGCCAGACCTGCTGAGCTTTTCCAGTAACTTTGTTTTTATTTACAGTGGAAAGTACTTTGAACATCCCATTAATACTAAAAATTGCGAGAGAGGAATTAAGTACCATCCCTAGAGAAGTAGAGCTAGTCAAACTAATGAGGCTAAAGGCAGATAAATCCCCTGACCCTGATGGATTGCATCGAGGATTCTAAAAGAAGTAGCTGCAGAGATAGCAGATGCAATGTTTGTAATTTTCCAAAAATCCTTGAACTCTGGAAAAGTACGACCGGATTGGAAAACTACCAATGTGACAGCCCTCTTCCAAAAGGGTGGGAGAGAAAAAATAGGTCACTGTTGGCTGATTAGCCTCACAGTTATTGCTGGAAAAGTACTGGAATCAATTATCAAAGAATCAACAGCATTAATATTTGGAAAATCATAATTTAATCAAGCAAAGTCAGCATGATTTCATAAAAGGAAGATTGTGTCTGACTAATTTATTAGAGTTTTTCAAGGAAATCTCAACCAGAGTTGATACAAGGGAAAAGCAGACATGTTGTATTTATCTCCCCACCCCGACCTCATCCTATGACCAACCACCCCCCCATTCTCATCCCCACCTCCTTGACCTGCCCGTCTTCTCTCCCACCTATCCACTCCTCCCACCTCATTGACCAATCCCCACCACTGCCTACCTGCACTCACCTATCACCATCCCACCTACCTTTCAGAGCTCCCTACCCCTCCCCCATTTCTGAAGAAGGGTCCTGACCTGAAACGTCAGCTTTCCTGCTCCTGATGCCTGGCCTGCTGTGGTTCCTCCAGCTCCACACTGTGTTATCTCAGAGTCCAGCATCGGCAGTTCTTACTATCTCTCATGTTGTATTTAGACTTCAGGAAGGTGTTCGACAAGGTACATCACAAGAAGTTAGATACGAGCCCGTAGTGCTGGACATAGTTTATTGGCTCATGGGCAAGATACTGCAAGTGGGGATAAGATGTTCTCTTTTAAGCTGGCGATTTGTAATCAGTGGGGATCCACAGGGATCAGTGCTGCAACGGCAATTGCAACTGTTTACAATATATATTAATGACTTGGAGAAGGAAGAGAATGTACCATAGCAAAATTTGGAGACGAGACGAAAATAGGTGAGAAGACAAGTTGTGATAAGGATACAAACAGTTTGCAGAAAGATATCAATAGGTTAAGTAAGTGGGCCAAAATTTGACAAAAGCAGTATAATGTGGGAAAATATAAAGTTGTTAATTTGGAAGGGAGAACAAAGAAAAATGTATTATTTACATAGAGAAAAGCTGCAGAAAGGGACTTGGGGGTAGTTGTACATGAAACACGGAAAGCTAGCACACAGGTGCAGCAGGTAATCAGGAAGGGAAATGGAATGTTGGACCTTGTTTAAAAGGGGGTTGCAGTATAAGAGTAGGGAAGTCTTACTTCAACTGTACAAGGCACTAGAGAGACTATACCAAAGTACTGTGAGCAATTTTGTTCCCCTTAATTAAGGAAAAATATTGTTTCATTATAGGCGATTCAGATAATATTCATTAAAATGATCACAGGTATGGAGGCTTTGTCTTACGAGCAAAGGCTAAACAGGTTGGGACTCTACTCACTGAAGTTTTGCAGAATGAAAGGTGATCTCATTAAAAAAATATCTTAAGGGGTTTGACAGGATAAACGCTGAGCAGATGTTTCCCCTCATGGGAGGCACTAAGACCAGAGGGTCTCAGAAGAAAGGGGTGCCAATTTCAAAATAAGAGGAGGAATTTCTTCTCTCAGTAGGGCATCTCTGTACTAGTATCCCAGTATTTGGTCAGGTTCATTGTCCATTACAAGAACGAGCACTAATTCTTTTCATGTTTGCATTTCTTATATACTTAGTGAATTTTACCCTGGATATGGCACTCTGCAACTGTACATAATGGTTTGGGTCAAGCCCATTTGGCAAGCTCTGCAACAATTTCCCAAATGCTTCCAGTCAACAATTTCTCATACGTCACAATGCCAACATATTGGGCTGATAAGTAGCAACTAATATTTGCGGCACATAAATGCCAGGCGATAGCCACCTCCAATAAGAGAAAATCCAATCATCTTCCCTTGGTGTTTAACAGCATTACTGTTGCTGAACCCCAATATTCAATATCCCAGGAGTTACAATTGACCAGAGACTTAATTAGACCATCTACGTCATTACTGTAGGTAGAAGAGTGCCTGACTTCCTAAAACCTGTACACAATCTACATGGAACAAGTTGTTGACTCTCATTCAGCATCATCACCCTCTGATACCCCAGAACCTGTTCCACTCCATTCCACACACCCCCCCACCCCAACCCCAATGCCCTGACTCCCAATCTGTTCGACTGCCACAATTACCCAATTTCTATTCCACCCCAACCCTCGATGTCCTGACTCCCACTCTGCCCCATCCACTCAATGCCCTACCATTCCACTCGACACCCTTAATTCCCTTACTCCCATTCTGCACCGCTCTCCCAATTCCCTGAATCCCATTCTGAGCCACTTATCCGAAGCCACAAGTCCTATTCCATCCCACCCTACCCTCCCATTGTCCCAAATTCCATTCTGCCTTAACTCTCATTCCATCCTACCGTCCCAATGATTTGACTCCCTTGCCAAGCCACCTTCCTATTCCACTCAACCCTGCTGAGACACTGAATCCCATTCCATCTCACCCTAAAGCCCAAATTCCATTCTGCTCTGACACTCCTTCATCCAATGGCCCAGTTCACATTCACCTCCTCCATGAAGACACAACTCTCTTCCACATTCCAACCTACCCGACAGCACAACTCACACTCCATGCTCCATCCCATCTACCAACCATTGTCCTGACTGTAGTGAATGCCAAGCCTCCTTCAACAGGAATCCTGCAATCTTTGGGGACACATAGGAGTACCCAACTGCAAGCACGCTTCCAATCCACATAGCATCTTGCCTTAGTAACATATGCCATTCTGTTACTGTCACTAGGTACAAATCCGGCAACTCCAATTCTAACAGCAATGTGTGTGTACCTACATCAGATAACTGAAGAGATTCAAAAAATAAGCTCAGCTTTACTGGCTGGCTAGCATTTATTGTCTGTCCCCGAATCTTCTGAAGGGCTAACAAGGATAGCAGCGAATGCAATCCTTGCTAGCTATACTCTCATCTCATGAGTTACCCTGTTTTATTCATTTATTTGTTGATCACCATAGTTTATTCAGTAAACTACATTGTCATTGCAATCTAGATTTAGGTCTACATTAAATTCTGACAGTACATGTTACATTTTCCAAGCTACTCCTTCTACATACAATAGACTACTTCCTCCTAAAATCACAGCACCTGACATTAAATACCCTAGTATCCAATGAAGAATTTTACCTTTCATAATAATGTTAAAGTTAAAGATTCACTTTAAGATCTATCATCTAATGGCTGAAGGGATAAATGTAATAGTGTTGAGCATATCACATGGACATTTAAATATGCATCATATTATGAGATTTTGACACACAATGAATTTTAGGGCATTTTACAAAGAATGATTAAAATTCAGTGATCTTTCTACCAGATCTAAGTGAAGAAAATGGAGTCAAACTAGTGGTCAGCTGTTTTGTCCTAAGATTTGTACACAGAATAAAAACTTCCCCAAGTCTAAATTCTGTATATAAAATGCAGCGTATACCAGCATGAGGCTAAGCTACAAATTTAGGTTTATTTCTTCAGTAGTTATGTACTTACATCTAATTTCTTCTGATAGTTGAGATTTCGAACAGCCTTTCGTGCCAAATGAAGCGCATGAGCATCATCCAAGGCGTAATGATCAGTCACACCAGACTTCCTGCACAATTCACAGCAAAATGTTGTTAAAATTCACTCTGAGATAAACACGATTGCAACATTTAATCAAACATATTTGCAACAAGCACAGAGAATGCTGGAGAAACTCAGCAGGGCTAGCAGCATCTGTGAAGAGAGAAACGGAGTTAACAGTTTGAGTTCAGTATGACACTTGAAGAATCTCCGTTTATTTCAGATTCATAGCATCCACAGTATTTTGCCTTCACAATGTCACTTTTGTGCTTAATCAGATCTTGACAATGTGAAAAATCTTTGGTTTAGTTTATTTGACTACATTATCACAAGCTAGTGCTTTTTCTAGAAACTAGCTTTGTATCATTTGCAAATTTGGAAATCTAATATCAGGTCCTCACCTCAAAACTCGCTGAAAACTCGATGAAAATAATTTAACATTTCAGCAGTATGGCTCACTACCTTGCATTCTAGGTGTGTGAAGGCTGCTTCCCATCAGCCATGGATCAGTTATTAGCACACTGACATGAGTCACTGATTGAGAATGCTGTTGATTAAAGTTCAACTCCAGAGATATGAAGCCCAAACCCAGATTGACATTTCACTGAGGGAGTACTGCACTGTTGGAAGGGCTGCATAAATACAGACTTATTCTTGGATGTGGAGGTCGCTGGCAAGGCCAGCATTGATTGCCCATCCCCAGCTGCGCTTGAACTGAGTGATTTGTTAAGCCATTACAGAGAATTAAACACATTGCCATTGGTCTGGAGTCACATATAGGCGAGAACAGGTAAGGGTGGCAGATTTCCAACACAAAATCATGTGTATGAACATACAAAACAGGAGCAAAAGTAGACCATTTGGGCCCATGATTCTATTCTGCCATTCGATAAGATCATAGCTGATCTGTTTGTATTTTTAATTCACACTCCCACCAGGAAACACAAGGACATGAGTAGACCATTTGGCCCATCCAACCAACCCCACCACTCAACACAATCATGACTGAACAATTAAATGCCTTTTGCCCATTCTGTCCCCATAACCCTGCATGCCACTGGTAATCAGAGGTCAATCAGTCTCTACATTAAACTCAAAAACAAAATTCCAAAAAGTACACAACTCTCTGAACAAAAAAATCTCTCATCTCAAACCTAAGTGCCTTCTCCTCTACTTTTAAATTGCGCTCTTGGTTCTAGACTCCCCAACCAGGGGAAATATCTTACCTCCATCTACCCCTTCTGTCCTCTTAAATATTCTATAAGTTTGAGGTCCAATCTTCATAACTCTAGAGAATACAGGCCCAACGTGTCTAATTCATCTTTGTAGGTCAGTTTTGCCATCACAGGATGAAGTCTGGTGAATCTTTATTGCCCTCCCTCAGGGCAATAATATCTTTCCTGTGATAAGGAGACCAAAATTGTACACAAGATGTGGTCTAAGGGTTTCTCCTGCCAAAGCAGATAATACCACTTCTTCCATTCAATCAGATCTTGGCTGATCTGATTTTAATCTCAACCCTACATCAACTCTAATAGTCTTTCAGCCCCTTGCTAATCAACCTCTGCCTCTGCATCCACTGCCTTTTCAGGAAGGATATTCCAAAGACACTCCATCCTCAGAGAAAAAGTAATTCCTCATCTCTTGCTTAAATGGGAAGCCCCTTAATTTTAATTCTTATGATCCCTAGTTCTACAATACATCCTCCGATTCTCCTTTATCTACAGAACAAGTTACTTTTTCAAAGACGATTTCCTTTTTACAAAGCCATCTTCGCTCTTGATTATCTTGAACTTTAATAATAGCTTCTAACATTTTCTCTGTGGCGGATGTTAAACTAACTAGCCTGCAGGTTCGGGTTTTCTGCCTCCCTCCCTATTTGAATAGAGGAGTTACATTAGCCATTTTCCAATCAAAGGAACCATCCCCAAACGTAATTAGTTTTGGAAAATTAAAACCCAATGTATCACCATCCTCACTTTCATCATCATTGCAGGGCCCTTTTTCTTGCCAACAACATCTGTTTTAATGGCTTCAATTAATGTAGAAGTGATCAGTAACTGAAATCTTTCTGATAGATCCTCTTCAGAAAAGTCACACTCATGCTTTTTTGCTGTGGCATCTTCTGACTAACTGGTCAATAAGCTGTTGTGGTTGTTTTCTAACATGACATGACTCAAAGTCTATTAATCCTTCTGCCACATTTACCTCACCCCAAATTACATCCATCAAGTATTGATCCAAATGCATGCAAATATTTATCTGTTGGAGAGTTACAAAGTAATTGAGAGCATTATAACCTGGGGTGCTATTTTCCAGCAATCTGTGTTCATGTGTAACAATCAGGTTTGTTCATTGCATAAGTATGGTTTCACTCTCTGATCCAAATGGAAAGATCTAGGTCACTCATTGCATTATGTTAGAGTGTACTTTGGAACATAAATCCATAAATGCAACAAGAAACTGCCTTAAGAAACGTCAACAGTTAATATTTTTCACAGAATTGTCATGGCATCACCATTTCTATTCAAATTATCATCCAATGTCCTCGTGAATACCTTAATGGAACCTGCTTCCACCACATTTCCAAACAAACAGTCTATTCCACACCTTAGCCACTTGCTGTTTGAAAGTTTTTTTTTCCTCACCTCACCATTGCTTTGTTTCACTTTAAATCTATGCCTATTTATTTATTTCTCTTACAGGAAGTTTCCCCCTAAATACTCCATCTAGCCCACTCAAGACTGAAAACCTCCATCAAACCTCCGTTCAGCCTTCTTCTCTTCAAGAAGAGAAGTCCCAAATTCTTCAATGTATCCTCATATCTGAAGTTTCCCATTCCTGGAACCATTCTTGTAAAGCACTCTTGTACTCTCTCCAATGCATTCACATCTTTCCTATAATGTGGCACCCACAAATGTACACAATACTCCAGCAGAAGTCTTACAAGTATCTTGTACAAGTTCAAAATCACATCAATACTATATTTCATGTCCCTATTAAAGCAAAAACACTGCATACTTTATTAACTGCCTCCACCTGTCCTAGTACCTTCAATTATGAAGCATATATACATCTGGGTCCCTTTGCTCCTGCATCCCATTTAGAAACGTACCACCCAATTTTGTGTTGTTTTTCAATGTTCTTCTAATCAAAATGCATCACCGCACACTTCTCTACATTGAGCTTCATCTGCCAACTATCCATCCATTCCATCAACTTGAGAATGTTCTTTTTGAGTTCCACACTGTCCTCCTCAGAATTTATGATTCTTCCAAGTTTTCTATTTTATGCAAACTTTGAAAATGTTCCCGCACACCAAGATCCAGATCATTAATATACATCAGAAAAAGCAAGGATCCCAATACACAATACAAACCTTCCTCCAGCCTAAAAAATATTTATTTTTATTGTCAGTACTTGCAAAGTACAATTTTATGCTGCTAGAACAAGTAGATTTGTTTGCACTGATTACACAAACATTAGGATGACCAAAAAATACTACATAAGATAGTTTACCTGCAGTGGAGATCAGCACCTCCAAGGTCTTCAGCTGAAACTTCTTCACCAGTTGCAGCTTTCACCTATACAAAGAAAAAAGAACAATAGTTTCAAATATTTCTGCTTCCAGCATGCAAGACAGCAGAAACAAGTTTTTAATAGGGTTCCATTGAAAAATTATTTCCTTTCACAAAAAACAATACTGCTTTCAAATACTGATCGATCTGCTTGCCATTTATAATACTGTATTTCTCTATTTCACTCTATGAATCTATCTTTATTCCTAACTATACTATTAGAAGCTTGGTTATGTTGCTTTACATTATAATCTTTAGATTAATAATCTAGAGTACTAGGTAAAACCAACAAACACATTACTAAGTTATACTTTTGAACATATGAGAGAGAAATGCCACAATAATTAAAATACTGTAATAATTAAAACAGAATGCTGAAAATACACAGCATCTATGAAGAGACAACAATGCTTTAATTTTTCAGGTCTGGATAGCTGCAGCAACAAATTTCCTTAGAGATATCAAGCTTCACAAGGTCACTGAGAAACTAAATAAACACAGCAACATAATCAAATGAATACCCCTCAAAATTAACATAAAGAACACAGAAATTAGCCTTATAACACAGGCAATTTACTCAAATTTATTATTTCCTTCCCACTGAGGGCTAATAGCAAATAAAAGGACAATCACTGAGTGATTCAATTAGCACATAGTAAGTATCAATGACAGTGAAACACAATTACACAATCAAGATAATCTAAATAACACAATTTTATTTTTCAGATATTTATATTGATTTACAATCTTCACATCAGGCCCTCATGTTTACTGATTAGTTTCATTGTTTGAGTCAACCCAGAACTCATCAATTCCTGTCTCAAAGTTTTATAACTTGATAACATGGCAAGTTCCTATGAGGGAACACCATGACAATTAGTGATAAAACCAACCAAGCATCCAACCATCTCTTGCAACTGCAAAATATAACATATCATAGCTGAACTTCAACTCCACAAATTAATTATGGAAAAGTTATTGCATTATACAGTTGCTACAAATTAGCACAGCTGAATTTATCCTATGTTTTAGCACACGTCACTATAAAGAAATATGACCATGCTTTTGAGTATAAGACATAGGTAAGGGATTCATGTGGCACAGTGATAATGACCAAACCTCTGGGCTAGAAGATCCAAGTTAAGTCCCACCTGCCCCAGATATGCCATAATGCGTTTGACCAGGTTGATTAAAAATAATCTGAGATAATGGGGTGATCTAAGGTGATTAAGTGAGTTGTTAGGATAGCAACTATTTCCTCTGGTGAAGGAGTCCAAACCAAGAGAACAGCTACGCTGTTGAAAAGGTGCTGCCAGTAAACAATTCTTCACAAAGGAGTGGGGATAAAAGATATTGGACATCTGGAATTCTATCCCCTAGAGAATAGGTGAGGCTAGGTTGAAACTGAGATTGATAGATTTTTGTTATGGAACTATTGAGTGGATGGGATTAAGAAATTGGTTAACCGTAATTTTATTGATTGACATAACAGGTCTGAGGAGTTGAATCACAAATTGCTGTTCCAATGATGTCTAAAAGATTGCCTTCCTAACCACTTTATGAAGACATACATTAAGTATGAATTCATAAACCAGAGACAAGACCAAAATTGTGCCTCAGTGATTACTGAACTTTGAAAAAGAATGTAGTAATTGCATTCACAATCAGAAATTATGACCAAAATGAAATTACTTATCATAACAAATTTGTAATTGATATTTATTGATTTTTCAGAGCATATGTTAAGTGTGACATGAAGGTAAAAAGCCAGCAATTTCCATTGCTGGTAAATATAGTGGCTCTTGACTTTTGTTTTTACATTGGTGGCATTCACAGGAAGAGCCTTATAAACACAAAATTAATCCCAGATCAGGCCATGGAATTTGCAATAAACTTGGAAGCTTACCTTCATATTACTCCCCAAACATAGAATTGTATTCTAATTTTTTACACGTACCAGTGGTGGTCCTCCTAAGAAAATTGTCCCTTGATTCTTCACAATGATACTTTCATCAGCCATGGCAGGAACATATGCTCCTCCTGCTGTACATGAACCCATGACCACAGCTATCTGGAACCAAAGGAGGCAATCACAGAATTAATGTTTTATACAGGACAACAGTTTGTTACACAAAAACAAATATGAATACAACGATTTTCATTCGCACAACAATTACTACCATTTTGGCATTCTGTCTTGGGTCCTTTCCCTGAGCTTTATAACAACAGTATTTTTCATTACAATCTTCTATTTGTGCTTCCTCATCCAAAACACTAACTCCGACATGCTCAATGCAAGAATGCAACTTTAAGTGACAGATAATGCTGCAAATCAAGTTCACAACCTTCTGATAGGAAACAAACACCGCTTTTACCCACAACTTTCACACTCCAGTCTTACACTGAAGAAGATTCTCAATAAATAGATTCCAAATTTTAAAGATTTATAAAAAGTTAGTTATACTTTAAAATGGTTGTTATTTTTCATGCTGTAATTGTGATAAACAAACAGCACAGAAAATGGATAAGTGATCTCAGGTGAATTGTTCATTTTAAATAAGCATTCAGTTGGTACACTCAGGTGAATGTCCAATCTCTTACTTCAAAATGCTATGGTTTGTTTAATTTTAAGTTTCTAACTAAGATACAATAACAACTGAAGTGATTGAAATGAGGCCAACCAGGTGGACCTTAGAATAGGAGTTCCCTGATTGGACCAGATTAACAGCCCCAATCAGGGAATCCTGGCTGACAGATAAGAACAGGAGTATCAAGGCTTCTATTCACTCTGAGAGCTGTCTGAGGGAGTTGAATCAATGTCAAAGACTCTCCACTTATAAATAAAGGATGACTTGGTGACGGGATAACGGCTTCTATAGAGTTATTTCAACAACAGCATATATATTTCAAATTATTCATTTACCTGTGCAATTCCCATTGCAGACATGTTGGCCTGATTATAAAAAATACGCCCAAAATGATCTCGATCTGGAAAAACATCTGCTTGGCGAGGTAAGTTTGCACCACCAGAATCCACTGAAATGAAACCATGAGAAAAAAATAGATGGGCATTTGTATATCACGTTTCACGACCCCAGGACATCCCAAGTGCTTAGTGTACAAAAGCAAAATACTGGTGAAATTTTGAAATTAAAACAAAATTTCCCCGAAATGTTTGGTAGGTATAGGCACTTCTTTGGAGAGAACTGACAAAAGAACATCCACCTCGGTTACTCTCTCCTCAAATGTTGCTTAACCTGCTGATTATTTCCAGCATTTTCTGTTTTTATTTCAAAGTATAGTCACTTTTGTGAAGTAGGAAATGCAGCAAGCAATCCATGCAAAGCAAATTTCTACAAATGGTTTATCCTCTTACTTCCTAGGCAGTCCCTTAGGATCAAGGATGATTTGTTTCAACTGTGCTCTGAGATTTTGCTGAAATGCAATGCAAAATCTTCACAGTCTGCCACATGTGGGGCAGGCAGTGCTAGAAGGGTTAGGCAGATAAGACGCTTGAAGGTTTGTGCACCCTCCCCAGCGCCTGTTTGTTCCCGATTGAGTCTCTTGAAGTTTTGGTGTATTCTCAAATGAACCTTCTCCATTGGTCAATCGCATGTCAGGGTCTCCCACGAGCAGACAAAGATTCAGAATTTCCTCAGGGATGTGGTGACAGCATGCCAAAAGCATTTTCACTGTCCTTCCGGATATATCCTGCTCTGACCGAGCTTTGATGAAAACAGTTGTATCAAACACAAGGATTAGGAGCATGAGTAGGCCCCTCAGCCTATCGTACCTGCTCAGTTGTTTGATAATTTTATGGCTGTTTTAATTATGGTTTCAATCTTGTTTTCCTTTCTATCCCCTACACCCTTTGACTCCCTTATCAATCAAGAATCTATATAAGATAGCCTTCAAAATATTCAATAATCTAGACTTCATTGCTCTCTGGGAAAGACTTCCACAGACAACTGACTCTCTTTTGGATTAAAAAAATTTCCATCATTTCCGTCTTAAATGGAAAACCTCTTATTTATAAACTGTGTCACCTACTTCACGATTCCAGCACAAGAGGAAACATCCCATCAGCATTTATTGTTGTCAAGCCCGTTAGAATCACTGCACTGGAAAGTGTCTAGACCCAATCTGTTCAATCGTAACTCAAAAGATAATCCCTCCATTCCAGAAGTCAACTGCATGAACCTTCTCTGAACTGCTTCAAATGCAAGTATTTCTGGCAATGCCACTGTACTAGTAATCCACAGCCCCAAGTTCAAGTTCTGATCTAATGGGTTTGAATCCCACAATAGCAGATGGTGAAATTTGAATTCAATTTTAAAATATCTGGGATTCTAAAAGAAATTAGCATAATGGCAACCATGTAACTATTGTCAGTTGTCGTAAAAACGCATCTAATAGTTCACTAATATACTTTACAGAGGGAAATTTGTCATCTGTACCTTGTCCGGCTAAATGTGATTCCAGACCCGCAGTAATATGGTTGATTCTTAACTGCATTGTGAAATAGCCTTCGCAAACCTCTCAGATCAAGGGGCAATAAAGGTTGGCCAGCCATGTCACACGCATCCCATATAAAAAAGAATCCCTGATCAAAACTGTACAGTACTCTAGGTGTGTTCTTACTAATGCCCTGTACTAGGTGTAGAAGAATTCCCTATTTTTATACTCCATTTGTCTGGCGATAAACATCAACATTTGCCTTCCTAGTAATTTACTGTACCTGCATGATAACTTTTTTTAATTCATGCACAACATCCAGATCCCCCATACAATTTAAATAACATTCTACATCTCTATCCTTCTTGGTGAAGTGGACAACCTCACATTTCCCCACACTGTAATCCATCTGCCAAATTTTTGCCCAACCTAAATCCCATGTAACCTCTATGCCTTTGTCACAATTTACCATCTGAAATATCTTTGTCTCATCAACAACCCATAGCAAACATATGTTCAGTCCCTAAAAGATGAACTGCAGAAATTCACCAAGGCTCCTTAGACAACAGCTTCCAAACACATGACTTCTACCATCTAGAAGGACTAGGCAATAGAGACATGGGAACATCACCACCTGCAAGTTCCACTACAAGCCACTCACAATCTTGACTTTGAAATATATCACTCTTCCTTCAATGTCTCTGGGTCAAAATCTCGGAACTCCCTCCCTTTCAATGATACCAAATGGACTGCCATGGTTCAAGATGAGAGCTCAACACCACTTGCTCAAGCGAAATGCGGGTACAGGAATAAATGTTGGTTCAAACAAAAAACAGAAATTGCTGGATAAACTCAGCAGTTCTGGCAGCATCTGGAGAGAAAATATGAGTTAATGTTTCAAATCCAGTGAACCTTTCCTCAGAACTGGACTTGAAACGTTAACTCTTTTTCTCCACAGATGATGCCAGACCAGCCGAGTTCCTCCAGCAATTTTGGTTTTGTTTCAGGTTCCATAAACGGGGCTATAACCTAGGAAAAACGAAAAACTTTCAAAACTATTAAAACTATCATTACCTTATACAAAAATACAAAATCACTGAAAACAAAAATCAACTTTGTAAAACGTAGTTCAAAGAATCTATAAATGTAGCAGAAAATTAAAGTTTCACCTAAATAAACACAGGGCAGGTGGTTTTGTATTGCAATCTCCTGTGCTCTTACATGCTTCTTCACTGTGATTGGGTAGTATGATCCCCCTTTTACTGTCGCGTCATTGGCAACAATCAAACATTCAACCCTGAAAGCAACATATACAAATTTCAGAATTAACTGTGGAAAAAGCACATAGGTTAAACAACAGCAAAAACAGGAAACAGGAGGCAAAACTCAAGGAGAAGGATAGAACTCATGTTCTAAATTTGTTGAACGTTGCATTAGGAGGGCCTCTAAAATCCCTTAATGGAAAATGAAGTGATATTCCTCTCCTTTGCACTGGGCTTCACCGAAAACATTGCAACAGGCCTAGGAGAGCAATATGGGCATGAGAGCAGGATGGTGTCATGAAATGGCAAGCAACTGTAACAGCAGGGTTATGCTTGCGGACTGAGCAGAGGTGTTCAGCAAAGTGGTCACCCAGTATGCATTAGATCTCCCAGTGTAGCGGAGACCACATTGCAAGCAGTGTACATTACAGACTAAATTGAAAGAAATGTAAGTGTCATGCTACAGGTATGAAAATGGTGAGGATAAATGTAGAGGCTAATGGAGTGGAAACTGAGGACAAGGGAAATCCTACTGTGGTTCTGGGAAGGAGGTAAGAGCAGAATTGTAGAAAGAGTATCAAAGGATAAAGAAAGACATGTCAGAGGTGCTATTGTGGAAAGTGGCATCAGAGTAGATGTGATGAGTTGGAGAAACTGCGAGAATCAAATCAAGCCCTTACAGGAAGCAGGGTATGTGGAAGTGTAGTCAAGATATCTGTAGAGTTGTGGATTTGCAATGAATGTTAGTACACAGCAAACTTCAGAACTGCAGACAGAGAAGCCAAAGAAAGGAAAGAGAGAGTCGGAGATAGACCAGGTGGAGGTAAACCCAACCAAGCACACAGGTGAAAAGCAAAATTCATCAAGTGTTGCAAAATTTAAACCATAGAAAGAAAATGCTGGAAATACTCAATAGGTCAGTTTGTACCTACAAAAAGAACAGACATATTAACAGCATCAGAGGAGCAGGAAAGTCAATGTTTCAGGTCTGGAACTGACACAAATGTCAACTTTCCTGCTCCTCTGATGCTGCCTGACCTGCTATGTTCCTCCAGCTCCACACTGTATCGAGTCTGACTTCCAGTATCTACGGTTCTTGCTATCTCCTAGACATGTTACCATTCCAGGTTTCGCTCTTAATTAGAAACAAATCAAGAATTTAAATTACAAAGGAAAATCTCCTTTCAGAACTAAGCAAAAAGGAACAGTACTATTCTGTACACATGATAAAACACAACATTTAACAACGAATACTAAAACTAGAATGATATAGTCTAAGTTCTAGTCATAACCAGCATTCAAAGCTGTCAGAGATGTTGAGCAAGTGGTTTGAAAAAAAGCTAAACAGCAGAGATGCACTTCAATTTTAAGCATTTAAAAGTCACCAGCTTTTAAATCCTGTAGCAAAGCACTGTCTTTTGGATAAGAATGCTCATTGTAACAAGTGGATTTTTAGTTCTGACTGGTTCAAACGTTGTACTTCTTAGACAGCGCCCTCCAAGCTCATGATCTTTACCAGCTACAAAAACAAGGATAGCAGATACACTGGAACTCCACCAAATGCAGGTTGCCCTTCAATTTGCAATGATGATGATTTTGAACTACATCTATGCTCCTTCACTGTTGCTGGGTTGTGGAACTCCCTAACAGCACTGTGTGTTTGCTTACATCCAAAGAACTGCAACACTTCAAGAAGGCAGCTTATCACCACATTCTCAAGGGCAATAAGGATGGGCAATGAGTGGTAGCCTAACCACTCACATTCCATGAACAAGTTTTAAAAAAGATTTGCAGATTTGTGCACATCCACTAACAGGAGAAGACGTTACGAAGTTTAAACTTGCAATACGTTTTGCATTTCCTCTCGGACATAATTTAAAATCTGAGAGAAAATCGTCTCCATGTGATCTCGGACTGATGACCACTACGGCAAAACGTGCAGCTCAAACTCCAGCTGAGATGATATATAACAATAGGAAATACTCATATGATATTTAAACAAGAAAGAGAAAAAGATAGATGAATTATGGTATTTCATAATTGGAGCCAAATGTCCAAATATTGAAATGTCTCATTATATCGGACAGATTATGTGGAAGTCTGCCTTTGTGCTGTGCAGCCCCTGTAGCTTTTAGTTCATGTCCAACATTTAATTATAAAGATTCAGTGAAACAGCTTGGAAACAGAAATAACCAAATCACTAAAAGTGTAAACGATGTGAAGATTGGCAAGAGATAAAAGTGGAAATTAGCAGACTCAAACAAGTATATGTGGAATATCATAAAACATTACCAACACCAAAGACTACTTAACATCGGAGGTAGAGTTAGAGAGTCATAAGGCGCAGAAATAGGCTCGTTAGCCTAACTTGTCCATACAGGCCAGATTTCCTAAACTGAACTGGTCCCATTTGCCTGCATCTAGCTCATATCTCTCTAAACATTTCCTATCCATATACCCGTCCAAATATCTTTTAAATGTTGCTATTGTACCCGCCTCTATCATTTCCTCTGGTATCTCATTCCATATAGGCAACATCCTCTGTGGTAAGAAGTTGCCCTTCTGGTCCCTTTTAAATCTTTCCCTTCTCACCTAAAACCTATGGCCTCTATTGATTGATTTATTGTCACGTATCAAAATACAGTGAAAAACTTCGTTTATGAGTGGTACAGGTAGATCATAGTAAGCAAAGGATGTACAGATCAAAAAGACTTAGACAAATGCACACAGATTACATTGCACAGGGCGTGCGCTAAGCGAGATCAACATTAGCAAGATCAGTGTAATTTTGAGGCGAGTGAGTCCATTCATCAATCTGATAACGGCTGAGAAGAAGCTGTTCCTGGCCTGTTCATGCATGTGTTCAGGCTTTTGTATCTTCTGCCTGATCGAAGAGGCTGAGGGATATCATTACCGGGGGTGATAGGTCTTTGGAGATGCTGGCTGCCTCTCTGCAGCAGCAAGCCACATAAATGGAATCCATGGATGGAAAGTCGGCTTCCGTGATGGCCCAGGCTGTGCACACAACCTTCTGTAGTTTCTTATGGTCCTGAGCAGAGCAGTTGCTATACCAGGCCATTATGCACCCAGACAGAAAGCTTTCAATAGTGCATCTGTAGAAGTTGATGAGGGACTTATGGACATGCCACATATCCTGAGTTGCCCAAGGAAGAAGAGGCGTCGTTGTGCCTCCTCGATTGTTGCATCTGTGTGGAAAGTCCAGGACACGTTGTTGGTTATCGTCACGCCGAGGAACTTGATGCTCTTCACCCTTCAACCTCAGTTCCATTGATGTTGATGCGGGCATGTTCTCCTCCTTTCTTTCTGAAAAGAATGATCAGTTCTTTAGTTTTGCTGACATTGAGAGACAGATTGTTTTCTTGCACCATGACACCAAACCCTCTATCTTCCTTTCTACAGTTTGATTCGTCATTGTTAGATATCCATCCCACTATGGTATCATTGTCAGCGAACTTGTAGATGGCACTTGTTCGGAATTTGGCAACACAGCCTTAAGAGTAAAGGGACTACAGTAGGGGGCTGAGGATGCATCCTTGGGGGGGCTCCAGGGTTGAATGTTATTGTGGGGGCGGTGCAGTTACCTATCTTCACTGATTGCGGCCTGTGGATCAGAAGGCTGAGGATCCAGTTACAGAGGGCAGAGCCGAGACCAAGGTCACACAGTTTTGATGTCAGTCTGGAGGGGATAATGGTGTTGAAGGTCAAGCTGTAATCAACGAGCAGGAGTCTGACATAGATGGCTTTGGTGTTCAGATGTTCCAAAGATGAGTGCAGGACTAGGGATATAGCATCCTCTGTGGACCTGTTACGTAAGTAGTCAAATTGTAGGGGATGGGAGACTGGAATTGACGTGGGCCATGACCAGCCTCGTGAAGCACTTCATGATTACGGAGGTCAGAGCCACTGTGCAATAGTCATTAAAGCACATTGCATGTACTTTCTTAGGTACGGGGATGTTAGTGGTCTTCTTGAAGCAGGTAGGGACTTTGCCTTGTAGGAGAGAGAGTTGAAGATGTCGGTGAATACCTCCACCGATATGCACAGGATCTGAGTGCTCGGCCGAGAACACTGTCTGGGCCCATTGTTTTCCTCAGGTTGACTCCCAGGAAGACTGATCTGAAGTCTGAAGCAGTGACAGAACGAACAGGTGCATCTGGGGCTGTTGGGGCAGGTATGACCGCACCGCTGGTATTCTGCTCAAAACAAGCATAGAAAGCACTGAGCGCATCAGGGAGGACGTGCCTTTGTCTGCTACCTTGCTCTGCTTCATTTTGTATCCCATCATATCGTTTAAGCTTGCCATAGGTGACGGGAGTCCGTTTGGTAGGTTTGGGCCTCTAACTTAGTCCGGTACTGTCTCTTGGCATTCCTGATGGCTTTGCAGACATTATATCTGGATTTTCTGTATTGGTCCGGATCACCCGACTTGAAAGCTGCATGTCTGGTCTTCAGTACAGAGTGGACTTCCTGGTTCATCCAAGGTTTACAGTTGGGGAACATTCGGATTGACTTCTTTGGTATGCAGTCCTCCACACATTTGCTAATGAAGGTCACGACTGTGGTGGCATACTCATCTAGGTTTTCCACTGAACACTTGAACACGGTCCAGTCCACCAATTCCAAGCAGTCCTGGAGACAGTCTTTCACTGCCTTGGACCAGCACTGTACTTTCTTTCGTGAAGGATTCAATGGAGAGTGCTGGAGGCATGCCAGGAGCCTGAAAATGAGGTGGCAACCTGGTGAAGCTACCAAACAGGAATACTTGCAAGCATAACAGCATAAGCAGCAAGTGATAGAGCTAAGTGAGTCCAGACCAACAGATCAGATCTAAGCTCTGCAGTCCTGCCACATGCAGTCGTGAATGATGGTGAACAATTAAGCCACTTGCTGGAGGAGACGGCTCAAAAACATCCCCATCCTCAATGATGGAAGAGCCCAGAATATCAATACAAAAGACTGACACAATAAAAGGTTACACAACAATTCACAACAATCTTCAGCCAGAAGTGCCGAG